CTGCAGTTGAGAAGGGAAAGATGTTTTGCAGCTAAAAGGGGCATTACATGCAAGGCATTAGTAAAATTAAGTATCGCATATATATGTATGTAATGTATCTATCTATCTATTATATATATAAGAAATATATATAATAAGAATGTATACTGAAAATATACATTTTTTACTATATATATATATACAGTATATTCATAGCGCATATGCGCATAGGCGTTTACGCGTGCACGTAAGACCTCTTACGACTGCGCATTTGCGTGTGCGCAAGCGCAGAATACGTTTTCGCGTGCGCGTTTTATGTATAACGAACGGTATAAGCTAAAATTATCTAATTATCTATTTCAGTTAATGTTGATGATTGCGTTGTTCCTTAATTTTCGAATTGGATCCGGCTTATTATTTTTTGCAGACTGTAAGAGCAATACTATAAAAGTAAACTTGAACTTTCGATTATGTCAAATAGAATTTTCCGATTCTGGAACTCCCAAAGGATCGTACAAAACGAAAGTATATTTCGATGTCCATCAAACAAAAAGTGGAATTGCTGCAAAAAATGGATAAAGACATGAAGAATGTGACAGAGAGGTTAGTGAAAACGAAAAAATTTCGATTGACAAGTTAGTCGATGTATTCTCGGCACAGCAATTAACGGGACTTGAACAGCAACTTTAATGAACAAAAATTATGTCTGTTTATGAATTAAAGAGAAGTATTATCACATTTAGCCCGGGGACGGATCCGGACATCCAATATCTGGAATGATCTAAAATCCGGACCTCAAAGCCACCACCAACCAATTTTTAGGGCTTTTTGAAAGGGGTATGCTTTACGCACGCGCATTAGATTTTTTTCCTCATCATAAAAAAAATGCCAGAAATCCCGATTCTTAATCTTAGTTTGGTGCTAAATAAAATATCTCATTATTGAAGAAATAATTATTTTAGCATAAATTTGTGTGATTAGTAACTTGACTCCATAGCTGCGTATCTGCTTGGCATAATCTCAAACCGAAACATTTGTTAATTTTACACCAACTAATATTTTATATCCTTGATGCCGAAATCGCGAATCATTATTTATTGTATTTTGCTTTCATCACCGCATGTTTATCAACGAATGACAACTTGAGTGATGAATCATGCAGCGATGCCAAATAACAGAGTATTATACGATTACAGATTTAAATTTAATGCGCTAAAATGTTGACAAGGGGAGATTTAGCAGAAATTTCTTTCCTTATGCTAAAAATAGATTTTGTTAATGATACTCATAGGACAAACGATTATATTTAGTGCTATTTGAATTAAGAATAACTGATTTGTTATTCACATAAAGCCAGAACCAGCTCCAGAGCTCGCATGGCCGCACCAGGCGGCAGAATTTAGCGAAGTTAAACAGAAGTTTTTCATTGCGAATGACAATGCCCAATCATCAATCAATTAACGGAGGGCGAAATCTGTAGTATGGTTCTAAATCCAGAAAATACAGCTACCGATAGTGAAGAAAGTAACAGAGAGGTTACTGAACGAGAAAAAATTTTGATTGACAAGTTATTCGGAATTCTCGACACAGCAATTACAGGACTTGAACAATGGAACTTAATAACTGAACAAGAAATTATATGTCTATAGTATTAGTCTAAAGTATTAGCAGAGAAAACAAATCAAACAACTCACATTGAAAGAAATGTTTAATTAAAGTAAACATATAAATATTAAGCTCTTTTCTTTTGGTAAATTTTGATACCCTTTAAATCATAAATGCTTCATTATTTCATAAATCACGATTTCATATTTTCAATTTTATAATTTCTACGTGCCATCTTAGTAGATTTAAAATGATCTAATATCCGGAAAAATCTCAAATCTAGGATCGCCGAAGTCCCGACGAGTCCAGACCTCGGACTTTGTACACTGTATATATATATATATATATATATATATATATATACGGAATGTATATTTTCAGTTAAACTTCTACCCAATAACTTTAGTAATTCATGAAAGTTAATTTTGCGTCTAGTTAATTCAGGAAAATTAGTTTCAATTAGTTGTTTTCAGCTTTAAAAATATTTAAAAAATTTTAATTAGTTATTTTCAACTAATAATTGTATCGCCATTAGCAAAAATTATGCATTACTATCAAAAACATAGGTTTAAACCAAATACTTAATTGTCTATTGAAGCTTCAAAACGTATTTCCGAACTTCACTTTTTCTCAGGCTAGCGTTACCGAATTTTGCCCTTGGCGACCTAAAATCGAAATGGAGCCAACAGATTTCCCGCGAAATCGATAACAGACCCTCTGCAGAAATAAACTCATAATCCCGATATCCCATACATATAGTATGTGCAAAAGAGAATAAACTCCGTAGAAGGTGATAAAAAATTAATTTATGGCTTAATTGAAACAAACACAGAAATTAAGCTAAGCAAAACCGTGTAAAAACAAATTGAAATGATAAAACGAAACTTAATTTTCAATGTGAATTTTCAGTGCTGACTCTCCCATTCTAGAAATTTCAATTTGTTTCAGACAAAGACCACATTTAAGGATTGCCATCCATCAATATCCAGTCTTTGTAGTCAGCTTGATGAAGCCACAGTTTATTGAAAATGCACTTTCCAGGCATCTCGTTCCTATTGGCGTCGGAAGGGTTGTGGCCTTCCAGGTTGGGAATTGCTCTAGTTTTGGCAAATATTTTCAGAATCTCCCCCCTCCCTTTTTTTTTCTCGAGCACCTTCATCATCACTTTCGCCTCTTAAAGAACTTCCAGCTTCACGCTTTCGTCACAGTCTGCCTAAATTTATGGATAACACCTGTTTCGAAAGATTGCGTGAATAGCCAATCAGACACCGATACTTTCGTTCGGGTAGCTAATTGTTTTTTTTTCGTTTGCAATGCAAATCCGCCAACAGATTGGTTAAGAGCTGTGTAATTTTAATTCCATATTCATGAGAAATCGTAATTCACACTTAGAATGGCAATCATTAGAAATGAATAAGAAATGTCAAATGAGCAAAATTAAGGACCGTTTATTCCTTTTGGCCAAAATTAAGGACTTTTAAGGACCAAAAATCATTTTTAAAAAAAATTTTAATAGTACGACCGAACCCTTATTAAAGGCACAAAGTCAAATGGACGCTACGGAATGGTGCCATTTTAGAAGATCTTAGCACTTTTGTTAAAAGGTGAACTGTGAGGATCGATTCGGGATCCTAGGGCTTGAATCCTGGGGTTTCTCCTCAAAGCAAAAGGAGCGCACAATACAGTTATATAATCAAGATGCAGGAGACCGTTAATGCACAACATTAGGACCTTGCAGTACCCCATTTGTGACAGATTTGAGCATTAATTGTTCCGTTTAAGAGAAAATGTGAGTCGTCCAACCACAAAATGCTTCAAGTTTCTAGAAGTACCAGGCACAGATGTTTTCGCAACCCGGGCATAAAAAAAGGCATCCGAGATTCCTTTATTTTTAAAACGGCCAAAATTATTTTTGTTTACTAGAATTTAATTGTTATTACGCATATCGAATTTCGCGTCCCATTTAATCTAAATTCTTCGGCAGCTTTCTGCATAGTTCGTACCCTGACACAGTAAAAGAACCGGGATGTAACTTACTCATCGAGAACACAAAGTGCGAACAGAGATAAGCAAAGATCTCCTATTTGAAGAATAAGAATGTCATTACCAGCATTTATGCAACACTTAGATTACATTTTCTTTCCCACAGCTACGCAATACTAGTAGTTCGGCTCGGGTTTTATTCATGATGATTGAATGGCGACGACTGCATGACGTTTTCCTCATATGAAAGTAACTACCAGACAGCTTCCCTTCTTCCACAAACGCTTTCGACGTAATATGCAGATAATTAAGGGGGCTCATACACCTTAAAACCCATAAGATCTTCGAATATGTGACTGTTGCAAGAATTGGAATAGCTTATTTATTTTAAAAGCAATTACTTACAAATTTTTACAGCTGACTACATAATAGAGCTGCTTTCTGAAATAGTAATCACAAAGTTTGTGTTGCCACAAATATTTTTATAATTTAATCCGCTTTGTGACAAAATTTTTCGTCAAGTTTCCACCTTGCGCGCACAGCTTAAAACATTGTTGTATAATTTAATTTCATATTTAATATATAGCTTTGATAACATTTGAAAACTACTGTGAACCTAAAATTCTAAGAATTTCATGTTAAATTTTTATTTTATTTGGAGTTGAGTTTATAAAATGTATTTTATTAAAAAATTTGTAATGTTTTCGTGCAGAAATTCTTTTTAATACTACAATATTCATCAGATTTTTGGTTTTAGAAAATAGTGCCCATATAAAGAATTCCATTAAATTTTAAGTATGTACCATTAGCCATTTTTAAAATATCAAGTGCGCAAGGTGGAAACATGACGAAAACTTTTGTTACAACGCGGATTAAATTACAAAAATATTTGTGGCAACACAAACTTTCTGGTTACTAGTTTCTAAAGCAGCTATATTATATAGTCAGATGTAAAAAGTTGGAAGTAATTGCTTTTAAAATAAATAAATTATTCCAATTCTTGCAACAGTCACATATTCGAAGATCATCAGGGGTTTAAGGTGCATGAGCCCCCTTAAGGAACAGGTGGATATACCCTACAGTATGTTAATTTACGATCGTAATGCATATCATTATCACTAAACAGAAAGGATTGGGAGACTTTGGCAAATTACAGGACTACACTATCTTCCGCAGCAGTCGTTACCATGATTACTAGAAAAGCAAGGAGGAAAATGACTTTGAAATACAGTATATTCTAAAGTAACTGACTCGTACCCTGCCCTAATTCTACCCAAATATTTATAACATTTCTTTGAAATGAAGATACGTTCGATTACTTTTAAGCAAATCATAAATACATTTATGAAAAACTAAAACAACATTTTATTCATAATTTAGTATTGCTTCTTAGGTATATCTGAATTTTGGAGATACAAAATAAAAGTTTGCGCAAAAATGAACTATTTAGAAATTCTAAAACCTAACGAAATGCATAGAGGTCAGAGAAAAAGAATTACATTGCCCAGGAAGTTGAAGAGAAAATTTAGAACGACGAAGCTGAAAAGAGTAAACACTTTCACAGTAGGAAGCGAAAATTGCGAAGGTACTATTTTGAAAGTTCTTTCACTGCATTCTTGACGTCAATCAAAATTCGCTTACATCCTGATGAGTCTTGTCCTACTTTCCGCGCCAACGGGTTCTTTGCTTTCATTTCGGATCTTAAAATATTTACTTTCGCCGCTTTGAAGTACTAGTTCGATGCGCAAATGACCTCAAAACACATCGTCTAAGATTTGATATTAGTTAGTCTCTTTCTTCCATTCACAGCAATCAGACAGCTGCAGTTTCAAGATATTCTTTGAAACGAAACATATGCATCTTACGGCATAAACATTTAGGAATAATAATGAATACATCGCACTCTTAAGATAAAAAGGATTTTAGAAGTTTTCTCTGCGCAATGGTTGATAACTTGTATTTGTTATTGCTTATCATTCCTTTATCTTTGTTCCTGGTTTTAAAACTATATTTACGCATTTCGGCTGGAGTATGCAACAGCAGAAAGACGTTAGAAGGGAAAGTTGTGGTCGTAACTGGGGCGAACTCCGGGATAGGATTTGAAACAGCCTGTGAACTAGCACTTCGAAAAGCAAAAGTTATTCTTGCCTGCCGCAGTGTAGAAAGAGGAGAAAAAGCAGCGAAGAAAATTACAGATGCAACAGGTAATAACAATGTCGTCGTTCGACAATTGGATCTGTCATCAATGAACTCCATCAGACAGTTTGCAACTGAAATGTATGCTAAAGAACAGAGACTGGATGTACTGATACATAATGCTGGCATCACACCCAAGCCCGGTTTGCATCTGACAGCTGAAAATTTGGAACTTCAGTTTGCAACCAACCATTTCGGTCCATTTTTGCTTACACATCTGCTTCTAAATTTGCTGAAAAGATCCACCCCCTCCCGTATAATAGTAGTTTCTTCATGCACGCATCTTTGGGCCACTCTTGATTTGGACAACTTGAACTGTGAAAAATACGTAAGAGACCCTTACTGGATCTACTGCAGCACTAAACTAGCAAACATTTTGTTTGTTCGTGAACTTTCGAAAAGATTGATAGGAACAGGGGTTACAGTCAATGCGTTGCATCCTGGAGGTGTAAGGACATCAATAGCTCGCAATGCCAGATGGTTCATTAAGTATATAATAATTCCAATAGTTTACCCATTTCTTAAAAGTGCAAATAGTGGGGCGCAGACGACTGTATACTTGGCAGTGGCAGATGAAATACAGAATATTTCAGGTGAATACTTTGTTGATTGCAAAATCTACTGGACATCACGAGCCGCAAAGGACGACGTGAAAGCTAGAGAACTATGGAAACTGTCAGAGAAATTCACAGGTTTGTGTTAGTTAAAATTTGAGCATTTAAAAATCTACTTCTGAAATACATATAAAATGTTATGTAATACCTGAAACTACATTCAGGTAAATCTTTACTTTTTTATGATAGCGCAGAACACGTGAATGCAATTTAATTGTTAAATTCTATAGCCCAAATATATTTATTTTGTGACTTCATATGCTCTAGCAAAAATTTATCTTTCAATAGTGAAAATATTCATATCTATGATCTGAAAATAATTTCCTTCATTTAGAATTATAAAAATGGAATTTTTTCCTCTTTTGATAAAAAATTTAATATTTAGAACTGACTATACAAATAGAATAGAGAGATGCTGAACATTTCAATACAGCAATATATTTATTTAGTAATTTCACTTTCCTGAGCAAAAACTTATTCTTTGTTCAGAAGATATATATTTAAGGTGTGAGAATAAATTCCTCAAACTATCAAGTCTAAAATTCATCAGCTTTATTGAAAAATAAAGAGATTACATCATGCTGCAAAATAAAAATAAAACACCTTAATAAAGCAAAAATGCCTAATGAATATATAATGAAATCATTAAAAATGTATACAATTCCCCCTCTGCAAACAATTTCAAAAGATTATTTGTACCTTCTTAATTCATAAACATATCGAGTATAATCTTACTTCTAAGAAAAACCACAATTTTAGAGCAATAGTCTTAGTTGCGTTGTTAATGTTACTCTACTTTCAGTCAGAAAAATATATTGAACTTGCTATTTAAAAAAAAAAAAAAAAAACTAAGAATTGATTTACTAAAATACAGCTAAAGATTTATATCAGTAACATTGATAATGTGTTGAAATGTAATGATCCTACATGGAAAACCCATGGCTTCAGACTATTTTGATCTTCTGTAAAGATTATTGCCCTAGAGAATAAAACTATTGCTCATGTTCATTCTTCACAGTGAGAAGCTTCAATATATTTTTATTACAGACTATCTCAACATCCTTTAAAGGCATATCAAGGCTCCTTGCGTTTGAAACCTTTTTGTTCTTTTAAATCTATAAAATGAAATCCATCATTAAAGAAACCAAGTACACATCAATCATCAGAGAAAATTAAATACCAATTACTATTGAATAAATTTACTGTTTCATAAATAATAAAATCCTCTGTGGATAACTGCAAAATATTTTACTGATAAATGAATTCCTATATTTAATGATAATTTAAATCCAAAAGTGCATTTATTTAAAAGTTTTTCATATCATTAAAACGTTACCAGCATATTGCTTCAGGAACAAATACTACTTTACATCAAATTATTCCACGAATATGATGTAAGGAAAGAAGTGATAATGAATTTTTTTAGAGAAACTTATTATGCCATTACTCATGATTTAGTTTCATAAAAACTACTTTTTAACGTTTTCTGACGGCTTGAGCATTTTTGACATTCTACATGTTAACAATAATGACCTCTACAAATATTTTAACTTTGTACAATATTTCAATAAATTTTTTAGAGTAATTTTTCTCATATATGAATTATTGACAATTCCTTACCATAACATATTTTGCTCAAATCAGGACAATTTTTCGAAAAGTACAACAGAAAATAAAGGTTACAGCAGGCTTAGGCTTTTTACGCAAACAACCAATTTGTAAATAAAATTTTTGTTGCAAAATAGCATTTTCAGAGTTTTAATTAATATCTCACAACCCAATATCTTGCACAACTTGCAACAAACACTTCGTAAATAAATTTTTTGCTGCCAATATAACTTTTCTAAACTAACTCCTTTTTTTTTTCCAAAGTTTTAATTAATATCTCGGTTGATTGAAATTGTACGAAGATAAGAATGGCCGAAATGGCTTCCCACAAATTTTTGAAATCCGGGGTGGGTACCTCTCTCGAAACTCAATTCTCCACTGTTCTGGAGAAGATGTTACAGACAGACAGAGAGAGATACACAGATGTGCACAGATTTTAATAGCATGGACTATGAAATAAAAAAGGTTAAATAAAGAAGTTGTTAATGAAAAACAACAAGGAGTCAACAAAAATTTAATTAACTCAAGCTGGAAACCAACTACTTTATTATTAAGAAGTTATTAGTATTTATTACTAATGAACTTTCTTTAAAAATTGTTACTTTTAATGGCATTGAAAAAAAATCATTGCAATTCAGTTCACCGTTAACTTTTCAGCTTGGTAAAGTTTTTATAGTTGATTCAGCAATTCTACCTCTTTCTTCAAACCACAAAATATTTATTATAGGGATTATTCTTTTGACTGGTACCGATGTGCTTAGTCTGCTGAAAATATGTTCTATTATTTGAACAAGATTAGGCAATGAAATTTTTCTTTGAAAATAACCAAAACGTTGCACCCACCTTTTCTTTGCAACTTTCATTTTTCCAGATTTCACAGTTAGTTGTGTGTGTATGATTATGGCAAAGCCTCGAGGGCTATCTGCCTAAGGAGAGGGATGCCTTCGTGGAGGACTTTCTAAAGGAAACTGGCTCGTATACACGTTACACATGGGGAAAACCACGAAAACGCCCATGCAGCCAGCCCGTTCGTGGGATTCGAACCTCGGACCGAACTACCAGTGTTCAGCGACTCGGCCGCTGCTGGGCCACAGTTAGTTGACCAAAACGCTTCTGTAATCACTACTACATCAAAAAGATAATCTATACTTATCATATTACTTGTGATAGTTTCATGAATTTTTTCACTTAAAGCTTCAGTTTCAGGCAATGTTAATCTAGTGTTGCCTATCCAAACAAAAGATTCCGCTTCATGTGTTTTCCCATAGCTCAATGTAAGAAAAACATTTGTCATAAAATGCTGTTGTACGATTGTATTAAGTTCCATTACTTCCTAGCATTCTAAAACTTTTTTTCTGCTTTCTGAGGAAAATTTATTATCACACGTTTCCTGAAGGTTTGTTTTTACTTCCTTGTATGAAGTAAAAAGTATTGTAATCGCGAAAAGTTTCGGGCAGCACATTTCAACAAAAATATACATTTTGACAGCTATCGAACGCAATTTAACAATGTTTTTGCGTGACATCTGTACGAAAAGACAGGATAAAGGACTCATTTCCCCCCAAAAAATTGTAAAATTAATTTTAAATGAATTCTAGAGAACTTTTCGTGGCATCTGAGCGTACGTATTTATCTCACATAACTCAAAAACGACTAGCCTCAGAACGTTGAAATTTTGTATATAGGACTGCTTTAACATGTAGATGTGCACCTCGTGTTTTAGTTGCAATTGGCAGCACCTAAAATTATATAAATACATGTATATATATCCACTTCTGTTACTCGACTCGGTGATCTTGTTTTTTATATTCTTACATGTTTGTAAATTGTGCACTTTTTGCTTTAAAAATGATTGAATTATGTTGTTCTTATCTTCAGGTTAAGGTTTTTATGCCTTTAGTAAATCTGTAAGCAATATTTTTAGAATTATCAACAATTTAAAAGTTGTTTAAGTGCCACTAAGCCTATTTTTTCTATGGTGGTCACTGCTTGTTTACATTTGAACAGCAAGAATAATAGATTTGTTGCCAACCTAGAGATAGTAAGCTTTGCAATAACAAAGATAACGCCTTCTTTTATTATTGCGAATTAAATCATTCTAAATTCATTCTGGAATTTTTTCAAGGAAATAAGTGTTTAAGATTTACTTCATAATTTTCAATACTGACATCTTGAGTTTTGATTTATTTTTGCCTTGTCGCGAAGTGAAAACTGAATTAATTGAATGAGATATACTGAATTGTCTGTGAAAAACTTTTTTTTTTTGTTGTTCTCTGCTTGATTTCTTTTACACATCGTTTTAGATTTTTATTATAGTATTTGAATAGAACGTGGCAACGATTAGATAACTCTTGATATAAATTTTGTGCATTCTGAGTTAAAAAATGAACAAAACGTAACACTGTGAACCTAGGGCCAGAGTGTCGCTATGGTAAACAAGTACAGTGACTTTTAAAGAGTGCATTTATTCTATTGTGGTTTATGCACTATCAACGAAATAGATTTAATTCAATCCAATAAGTTTAAATGCAAGAAAAAATTCCGCACAAGGAAGTCCTGTGGTGTACACATCAAATTTTTTAATTTCTAGTTCACTGGCAAAATCAATTGCACTGGCTTTGGTACTTCCTATAATCAAGTTAGCTTTGTTAAATAGAGTTGCTCTTGCAAAAACTACATACATGTTTCACCACAATTATTATTCATCGCAGGACAAACTTGTGAAATAAGATATCAGCTATATCATCAAAAGCTGCAAGTAGTTATCACTGGTTTGAAGAAACTTTTTGACACCTTAGATCTACAAATTCACAGAACTCGTAGTTCAGTGACTCGAGAAACGTATCAACGTAGAAATATTTGTAAATTTTAACTACTACAGCTTCTCTTTCAATAGGTAGAACATCAGTAGCAGTTTGAAGGCAGTTGTGTATGACGTGAGCACACATCCAACAATAACCAGCCAACAGTAACCAATGCCAACATTTCTTTCTAGTTCACTTTTTAACCAGTTATAAAAATTATTTCATTCTCTATGTTTAACACCCCCCAAAATAAGTATTGCAATTATCCTCCAAAAATGCAATCCCCCCACTGACATTAAACAGTTTATCAATATTTCTTCTACTGGAAATGACTAAGAGCTTAAAAGTTTACTGCCACTGTCTGGTACAACAATTGACACAGTTTTTAATTTCTTTCCCGCTAGAAGAATCCAATGCATTCAGAAAATTTGTCTTATTTAAATATTTGCAAAGCAGAGGAAACGACAGCGGTTCAGTCAGGTTAACAATGACAACTTCACATTTAATTCTGGCTAGTCTAAACTTTGTTCAAAGAGCTACAAAAGCAATTTGGATTGACAATTGGCTGCCTTAAAACTGAGATTGTAACAACATGAAATGCAAAAGTTGCTTCTTTAGCTGCTGTTAAGAATTCTTTTGTCATTTAAATTGGTACCTTTAAAATATTAATTTAAGGAAGTTCCTGCCACAGCTACTAGTCTTGCCTCATGTTCTGAATATTTCAATTGATTTGTAATGTCCAAATGTCCAACACGAGCTACTGAAAATCGAAAAGCATAGTTCATATTTAATTTCATCAGAATGATCATAAACTTGTTTTTCAAAAATGGATAAGCTTTTAATTCATCAGTAAACACACAATTTTTGTTTGGCATTTTGAAGATAAAATCAATTAAATGTACAGTACAAAATAATCACAATGCCAACTCACAATTTAAACTCAACTTAACAGGATATGAGCAACAATGACGTGGTCAGTAAGTTACAGTGTTGCTAACTCTAACTGAGGCAAAATAACCAAAAAATTAAAAATAACCTGGATCTCTAAAATTTCGTGAAGAAATAAAACATCTAAATTCCTTTGGCCACACCTATAGTTTTGACTGTATCTAGACAACATTAAAAGTACTTAAATCTAAATTCAAAATATTTATATTGGCAATAATGAGTAATAGAGAGGATATTTTAACTACCAACTTACCTACCAACCTACACCAATTTTAACTTACATTTTATCAGAAGCTGTAAATGTTTTCCTTTTTACTTCAGTATCTTCATCAGTTTTAAAGTTTTCATCTAATAACTGGAATAAAATGACAAACTGACCAGAACGTAGGGACTGCATCATCAAAACAGGGTGTGTGAATGTCTAAGGCACACAGCCTAAACACACTTTAGTTTCCTATAGTTTGACTCATAATACACCACATTAAATTTGATATCCATTGAATCAATTTGAAACACATAAATTATGTGAAATGCAATATGATTTTATTTTGCATCAAATACAAGTTTTTTAATATTTTAAAACTGTTTTACATCTCTGATGATTTTATATCTTGCTTTTCATTTTTGATGGTGTATATGAATTAAAAGGAAACCTCCATTAAAATACTCATTAGCATGAAATTCCCATTACATAAGGAAATTCACATACAATGCAGAAATTCAAATTTCCATGCATCATTATATACCATCATCACATTTTATTCATTCAGCCATTAGTACCTCTTAATCAATATTCAATCAGTATCTGCTCATGCATGCAAGTAACAATTTTATTCCAGATGACTACAAGATTTTTATTTTTTCCACGTAAATAAGTTTAGAATTAATTACATGATTAATGGAATTTTTTTTTTCGACAACTGTTTTATTGAACTACTTTTTTTGGGGGGGGGGAGTTTAAAGCAGGCAGATGCCATTACTATATTATTTCACATATTTTCATATTTAAAATTTTGGAGAGGGTGGGGGAACTTATGAAGATTCATATATTGTGCATCGAATTATGCATATTTCTTAAATACCACAGCAAATGCTTTTAAAATATAAACGGGCCCAGATATACAATTAATTTCAAAGTTATATTTAATTCTTAAAACTTTGAGCCCATTTTTCTGAATATTCCAACACATAAATTTGAAAGCAGTTTTGTTTATGTGATTATGGCAAAGTGTCGAGGGCTACCTGCCTAAGTGAAGGGATGCCTTTGTGAAAGACATTCTAAGGGAAACTGGCTCGTATACGGATCACACATGGGAAAAATGACAAAAACGTCCATGCAGTCAGCCCATTCGTGGGATTCAAACCTCGAACCAAACTACAAGTGTTCAGCCACTTTACTACTCGACCGCTGGTGGCCAAATTTGAAAAAAAAAAAAAAAAAAAAAAAAAAAAAAAAAAAAAAAAAAAAAAAAAACAGAAAATTATAATTTATGATGCCTATTTACAAATATATGCATTCAAGAGTTTCCCAATACAATTATGATTAAAGTAAACAAATGAAGTAGTAACACTTTTAGAAAAATATTCTTTAATATAATAAAGTTTACATTCATAGTAAAAAATAAAGCACTTCAAATGCAATCAAACAAACTTGCCATTATATGTAAAAAGAATTTCAAACATGTGTATAAAATACAGTTACAGTATAAAAATTATTGACAGTACATAGATTATTAAAATATTTTGTATAAAACAATCCACCACAACAGAGAAACTACAGTAAAATTTAAAACTCCAATAAATATTATTCATCCATTATTAATTATTAAATCCATCCATTATTTTCTGAATTAAAAATTCAGAAGTTAAACAATTTTTTTTTTTTTAAAAAATTTTTTTTTTTTTATCTTTAAAAAATTCTCACAGTTCAATTAATTCAGATGCAAGGTAAGTTTTCAATATAATTTCAGCACGGAAACATTTAAATGAAATTTTTTAATTTAGTATGATTGCAGCTTAGCTGCCTGCTTAAGTAGTTTACTGTTCCAAAAACAAATATATATATATACACACACATATAGCCTTTGTTCTCATTACAAAAAACTTCATATCATGTAAAAATATACCCAAAATCCACTGGAATGATATATCTACAAAATAAAATTTAATTAAAGGTAAACTACATATAAATTGTCAGAAATATCACAAGAGCTCATATCTTACGTAGCAAAACTGAAATAATTCATTCAACAGTGAATGATCCCAAAAGATAATCGCTGATTTTCATACTTTATCTACATTTTGCATGATCCAAAAAAAGAACATGCATATGCTTATAAGAATCATAATATTTACTTATGAAAGGAAAATAAATATTAGACCATTACTGAGGAAGTATCTTGATATTTTTAAAACTGTTTTAAAAAGGAAATAACTGGAGAATCATCAGAAAGAAAAAGATTACATAAATATATGCCAGTTAAGAAGGATATAAGGAATAAAGATATATATTGTGCGATCTGGAGAGATGACTGTCTGGTGTCTAGAATTTTCAGCTGGAAAAAAGAAAAATTCTTTCAATCACAATGATAAAATTGTTTAAAATTTCATCTGATGCATATTAACATTAAACAACAGCTAAAATTTTCTAATATAATTAAGGATGAACTTACTACAAGGGGGGGATAAATCTAACCTTAATTGCAGAAAGTTCACTTGATGTCTGCAATTTAGCAACTTGAACTATTTTTGCAACTACTACCATTTTGATATACATTAAAAAAAAAAAAAAAAAAAAAACTGATACTTATGTATTAGTACAACCACCTTAGAGGAAGTTGCCACATTTTCAGAATGTCCCAACTAAAGCAACAATGTATATAAGAATTCTTCAGTTTCATATCCATGCTTTCTGTTTTATTTTTTTTACAAATTCCAAAATTCTGATACACAAATTGACATGTTTTGATTAACCCTCTGAGAGTTATGACCGGCTTTATCTGGTCATCAGAAGTTTTGCTACTTGGCATATATTAGCTTATAATTTAAGATATTTTGCTTTCTTATAATGTAAATATCATCTTAATGAATGTACGTTTATTAAAATCCTGCGTCGCTCAGAGGGTTAAATAGCACAGCAACTTTGTTTTAAAACGCACTTGTGGGATTTGCCAGCAGCGGAAGAAATTATGGTAAAATTTATGCAGAAATACAGTATTTTGTCAAAAATCACCAAAGGAAATGAACATTTTGAGTTTATTCTTTAAAAAAATACTATGAAAATTCCACCAAAACAAAAGATACAGATTTACTTGTGAATAAATTTATTGATTTCCGAGTTAAATACACAATAAAACAATTGATATGTAAAACAATTTCAAAGTCAATGTGCTTAAAAATAGGAATTATTTGACTGCTATAAAAAAATTATTAAGTTTTTGGTACTTACATATTATCTTGTCGACAGCTGGTAAAAAATTTGATAATGCTTGGCAATCAATACTGTAGAATTGTAAAAAAAGTGGTCATCCGTAATTGGTGCTAAATTGTGCTACTTGGCCATTCGATGGGATAACATGCAAGTACCATTTTTAAATGTTACACACACACACACACGCACAAAAAAAAAAAAAAAAAAAAAAAAAAGAACAGGAGACAGACTTTTATATGAATCTAATAACAATTTCCTGACATCTGGAATATGTAAAAATCTGTTTTGACATTAATAAAAACACATCCCTATACCTCACTCTACATCAAAAGTTCAAATGAATATTGTTTTGCAATTTTAAGGCAATATTTTCTTCTGTAAAACTGGCCAAACTGTGCTAAGTTGTTTGTACTAATATTTAAGTACCAAAGTAATTAATGCTAACTGAAATATCAAACATATGAGGTGTGATCAGAAAGTTCTGAAACAGTAACAAGCAGTATATAGCATATAAAAACACATTTGTACAAATGGCAAGAAATAATATTCTTGAATCAATATGGCAAGAGGCAGTGCAATAGTATAAAATAATTTAACAACTTTAGTACAAAAATTAGCACAAAGAAAGCATGGAATTGTTAGCTGTAGTTTTGTTGAAACTCGCTCAACTTTACCAAAGAGTTCTCATCACACTTGTAATGCTGACACTTTTAATAAAATACACTAGTAATAGCCAACACTTGCAATGGAAATTGTAGTGCTTGTAAACATAATAAAAATAATAAAAATTTTAATGCTATCTGTGTACCACTCTAACACTCGTAGGGACTACTATTCTATTACTATAAACAACACTTTGATAAACTGAGTTGTAACAAAACTTCAGTTAGCAATAATTATCATGCTTATTGTACTAAACTTTTACTATGAAATTCAGCCATATAATTTATTTTTGGCTTTTTTAATTTTGGTATTTGAGTTACATTTTATTTTGTAACCATGTGCACCAGTTCATTTGACTTCTCAACAGAAATAGAGATCTTAGATAAAAATAAGGAGTAAATATTAGATTAAGTATGAAATTTGCCAAATCAACAATGGAGAGTATTGACATACTTGAAAGATACGGTAATGAATAAAACGATGTGCAATGAAAGCTGCTGGTGGTTTCGCTCACTAGAAGATAAAGAGAAGGTAGGAAAAACCTTTGCAAACAAAACAAACAATATCCAAGAAATTTCATATGCCTCATCACTATTAAAGAAGTTATCAGAACTAACAGAGTTTCATTTAGAACTATGAAAGCAATATGGCGTCCACTAAGAAATATTCCTTCATTCAGTATGAACATGCATTATATTATATTTATACAAAAACTTTAGATCTCATAGTAGGGGAAAAAAAAAAAAAAAAAAAAAAAAAAAGCTTCATTAAAGTATTAATACAGGATTTTAATATAGCATTCTGAAACACCTAAGAGGCAAAAAATCAAATGCAAATAGCCTGAACTATAGCAAAAGGAAAACTAAGCATTACCATGATAATGCACCTACTTGCATAAGATTAAAAATATGCACCAATATAATCAGCAGGTTCCGGATGACCCATTCCTTTATGTCATTAATCATAATCAATATTGAAAGTAAAATATATGGCTAAAAATGAAAGACCAAATAATAGTTGTACTGGAAGATCGGATTCTCTGAAAACTAAGCAAATCAGAGGTGCAATTAAAAATATGTTTGCCATTTCCCCAAGATTATTCACTGCAAATCCTTTCCAAATGCCAAAGTAATTAATAAACAATTTTATTATAATATCATAATATTTTAAATCATTTGTAAGAGCATTTGGTGCAAGTGACTTGAATCGCAGAGGTCATTTTGGATGCCGAAAATATTACTTTTTAAGTCACACCAATACAATAGCTTTTTATCTTTCTTATTCACCAGACTGGTCTAGGACTTCTCGCTGTCGCTATTTCACCGTGGCCGCTTTGCCATCACGATGTTTCACAGTCAAGACACATTGTTTTTTACATAACTGTATTATATCTTGCCGTATTATACTTGTATTAAATTTATTTAGTTTAATAATTCTGTTTACCTTTTGTACACTCAATAAAGGTTGCTTGTAATATATACAGTTATTTAAAAGTATGAAATATAAATAAATTACACATAGTTAGTTAGAAAATTATGTCAGTATCAAAGAGAACTGGGGCTAAACTTTTGATACAACAGAAGTTATATTATCGATTACAATATTTACATAATTCGCCTAAATTTCTTGAAATTTTAATTGGCTAGTTCAGAGAAATTACTCATACAGACAGGAAATCCAAATTTTTATAAAATCTGAATGAAAAATGGAATTACTTTGGAATACTGTCAGCACATTACTATCTTAAAATTAATAAGTCGTGTGTAACGTTGTATTTGTATAAAACTGTACATAAAAACATTTTATATAGCATTTTATATGAAATGTTTATTAAATGAAATTATTAAACTAAACAGAGTTATTAATTTAACTTAATACGGCAAGATATAATACAGTTGTGTAAAGAAATATATGTCTTGACGGCGAAATGGCCACAGCAAATAGTCCCAATCCCCACCAGACCTGGCTTCCTGTAACTTCTTTATTTCTCAAGTCGAAGGGTTGGTGCTTTGATAATGTACAAGGATTTCAGAGCAAATCACATTGCACTGCTCAACATACTTCCACAAGCAGTTAAACAATGGTAAAAGGACTGGTGATAGTATATCAAGACAGGGAACAGTAGTATATTATGAAGCACAAAAAGTACTCTTAAGAGGGATGGTGACCAAAATTAAATTCCACACAAGTTTTTATTTTCTACGCACCTAGCCTCAGAACTATTGCATAACACCTCATACATTATAATAAAAGATTAAAAACACATGGATTCAAAAATGCAAAATTTTATAGATACAATTTAAGTTTAATAGTCTATGATAGAAAAAAGTTTTAAAAAAGAAAAAATAGGAGAAATGAAAATTTTAAATACTTAGGTTTTAGCAAAATTTCTAACATTAAAATTATTTTTTCTATTAACTACTTAATTGTATGAAAACTCTTACTTTATTTTCGATGTTTGAAATACAGAGTTGCATGGTTTTCAAAGTCTTTTCTACATCAAGTTCTTCATTCATACTTTGATCATCCTTTTTCATTACACACTTCAGTCTAAAAGAAAAAAAAAAAAAGTATAAATCGAATAGTGCATAAATTTTATGCCTACTTCAATATTTCATCAGTTAACAGAAAGGAGAAAAACTCTGAATAAGTTTCTAAAGGATTGTTATTGTACTCATGGCAAAGGTTCTGATTATGTGTTACAATTGTTTTGCTGAAGATGCACAGAAGCCCTATACCATTGTGCTTAGTACTATGCTTATTAGACCAAATCTACCACGTAATTTACTATTATTCTTTATTAAATATTCCAATATTATTACATAATATTTTTAATTATGTTCAATTCTCTTGCACTGCATAATATAATATTTAAGAGTACTATATTAAGGCAAAGTTGCAGTTATTTAAGGATTTTAGGGACAATAGAGAAGATTAATAAATTTGAGAATTACACTGTACAACTATTCATGAACAATGAACATACTATTATTACACTTAGAATAGACCTGTAGAATTACCTGTGTAGCAGTCTGCAGCAAACCAAATTTGCATTTAAAACAAGAAAACGATGCATTTTGAACCGAGAAAATTTTATTTTTCTAATATAAATTATAACATCTTCTAGTTTATATGACACTTTAATTTGACAACACAGATCTCTACAGCACTCACTGCAGACAAATCACAGCCCAGAACAAAATGACTATACAAACATGTACTTTGTCAATTTATACTTAACCCCAAATAAGAATACTTATTGGAATTTTGCCTAAGTACTTCAGTTATCTTGAGGTTCGTCTTGTTGAAAAAATTGCTTCCCACAGTAATTTTTTACATAGTCTTCAACTAAACATCTGTTTGCCAAAACAAACTGCATGTATTTTGATTAACGAGATACATTTCGCAAGAGAGGAAGGAAAAATGTAGTCACTTGCTCTAGTAACAACAACATCCACATGTGCTGTGTTTACAATGGAGTCGATAGCAGATATCCGCTGATACTCCGTGGCTGAAAGTAATTGATTTTTCGCATTTAGAAATTTATGACTATTGCCAGAAATTAAAAAATACGCTTGGAAATGATTTATCTTTCCTTGATGTCAAGAAGGGTCATTTGTTATTTAAGGAAAACTATGTGTTAAGGAAAACAATATTCGTTTCAAAGTAATGCCGGATAGCACGGTACTTATAACAAGCTGTGTGAAGGCCTAAATTAGGAAACATCTGTGTAATTTTCTGCAGAAAACGAGGTAAGATTTATAAATTTTTCTTATGCATGATGCTTACCAGTATTAATAATGTTTCCATTAAGAATATTAAGTGTATATCAGTTAATTGAAAACTATTCCCGAGACCTTGAATAACGTTTTCCAATTTTTTAAATGTAAGTGTAATAATAGTATGTTCATTGTTCATGAATAGTTGTTCTAAATTACTGGAATAGCCGAATTCGTGAAAGATCTGTTTATCTGCAAGAACATAAATACAAAGCCGATTTTCTCTTATTAATATTAATTAGTGTCAGAATATTTTATGCAGCTAAAATTTTATTAATTTCATTGGGATATGTTATATATAATATTTTAGCTGTTGTAATTAATTTTTAATGAATACACAAATATCAGAATGTTAATATTTTTAATACCTTCCATTGTAGATATAAGGATACCAACAGCTGTAATATTAGAAGTATTCGTAATACTGAAACATTTTGATATAAAAGGTTGCTTTGATAAGAATTTATACTTAATTCTAAATTTTTATGGAAGATTGCCGAGTTTTTTTTTTTTTTAGTTTAAGTATTAAATTAGCATGTATATTTAATCCTTGAAAAATCAGTGGTTGTGTCAGTCCATGGTTTGAGATAACATGTGCATTAGAATTACACTAGTCTATATCCTATGGTAGATCTTTTCAATAAATACACTTGAAAATCTGTTTGAGCTACATGATTTTAAAATAAAAAAATTCTGCACATAAATTATGTAACTTACAAGATTAAAAATAACTTCAAATTTATTTTTTGAATACTTAAAATGTATACAGATAGTACTTTTTATTATTTATTATTTATAAAATGAAGAAAAATGCATTATGAAAAATTATTAGTTTCACATCTAGTACTGCAGTGAACTCAGTTGCACAAATCTATATATTTTTCTTTTTGACATTTATATTATAGTATACAAAATGTGCTAATTTGCAGTTTATACTATCAATAGGATAATAGTCAGTTGCTAAAAATTAAATTTTAAGTTGCATAAAATTATATATTTTGAACTGCGCAGAAACATTGGCAATCGATTATTCTTACATGATTTAAGAGGCCAACTGCATTTACAGTGCTCTGGAATATTTGAGTATTACGATTTTCAGAAACCAACTATTTATATTTACTGTTCTGCTTGTTTAAGCTGAATAAAATTATGACTTAAAAATAGTTTATAGTAACTTTCTTTCAGTGCAGTGTAGAAGAGCAATCTATGTAAACATGATTTTATGTATTCATTTTTACATGATTTTATGTATTCATTTTTACATGTTTTATAAATGAATTATCAGATCAAGGAAAGAATTCATAAATAAATATTAACAATCAAAACATGGTAAAGCAGCAAACAAATGAGTATCATGAAGATAACAATAACATAAGAGTTACCAAAATTATACTAACCAAATGAATGAACAGTTAATTAATGGATGAAATAATAATTAAAGATGAAATGCAAATTTTATAACTAATTAAAAATAAACAAAGTTTCCAAATTTTCAACACATCTACCTCAGCACAAGCTTGTTTGTTTACATTAGTAGTTCTTAGATCATGTGACCTCCGACGTCACCGGAATGCATCTCATTTAATATTTTAATAAAAACATAAAATATCAAATGATTATTTTTTAACTGAATCTAACACTTTATAAGTACATTGCAATCATGGTATGTCTGCCTGCATTGTTTAGATCGAGTTTTAACGAAAGTTTCCCGCCACTGCAAGTATCGTCTGTGCAAATAGTTCACATTGGCATGTTTAATCATATTTTGTCACACGATTTTTGGCATTTGAAAGGAAGACACTTGCTTTAGAACACTGAGTTGTGGAATTTGTTAAAAAATACTGTTATCATCATTAAGTACAACGTGTCTGAAAGGGAACTATAATGCTACCAGATTAGAACCATCATTTACTTCCAGTTCTCTTGCAAAATGTCAGCTACTGAATGTCATCAAATCATGTATATAGCTTTTAGGTACTAATATTGTATCAAATGACAATGTGAAGATTTGATACCGAAAGTTCAAAAACAAGGACTATGACATTCAAGACGGCGAGCACTCCGGAAGCTTACTGAAGTTGATGAGGTCTGCCTACAAGATCTTGTGGAAGAAGATCAATATGCAACCATTTCAGAGTTTGCTAAGAAATTAGATGTAGTGCCATGTCCATTAGTTGCACCAGGCAGCACATAAACCTTGGCATTCAAGTTCAATCGCTGGGTGCAGCATGAGTGGATTCAAGCAGGTAAGGACATGCATGTTCAGGCCTGCACTAGCCTGCTCAAATATCAACACAATAACAAAATTCTGGACCGGATCATCACTTGTCATGAAAAGTGGATTTACTTCAAGAACACAGGCTGAAAAATGAGTTGGTCTGCTCCCAGTGAGCCTGTTGGCTGTGTCTCAAAGCACAATTTGACTAACAAAAAGATCATGCTGGATTTGGTGGGATTCCTGTCATACTATCCATAAAAAGGTAAAAACCTCAACAATAAGGTGTACAGCAAGATGCTAGTCTGTGTTGATGTTGCCATGAAGGAAAAACGTCAAACTGAGTTCCCGCACAAAAAGGTAATATTCCATCAAGACAATGAAAGATCACATGTATCTGCATTTTAAACACTCTGTACGGACTCGAACAGGATCTTTCGCCACACCTATTATATAGCTCCGACATTGGTCCTTTGGACTTCTACCTTTTTTCCCACCTGCAGCTACACCTTGGTAGTGCTATTTTCCATTTTGCACAGGGCATCCGAAATGAGTTTAATCTGTTTTTGGACTCATGGGCACCAAGTTTCTACGGATAAAGACTTTGAAAAACTACAAAAATGTTGGTAGAAAATCAGAGATTTGGGTGGTGATTAGCACCCGCACTAAAGATACTGCTTTCATGTCTATTTTTTTTAATTTTATTACGAATGTTTTTAGCGGAAAACTTTTGTAACAGCCAGATATTTTTAGTACTTTGTGATTATCCGCATCATCGCTGAAAAGTCGTGAACTTATTTGTGATCTTGAAGAGAAATATTAGTTTGAGTACCTAGTATATGTCTATTTCAGCAACATTTCAAAACATTTTTTGGGGGGCTACTTTGCACTTTGTTCTCTGCATGTACGCAGCAATCTATTTTCACTAAAAGTAAATTAATGAAAAAATTAATATAAAAAATCTGAAAGATGTCAGATTTTAAATTACGTCCAAACGTGTGTTTTTTAATGCTTTGTGTGTTACTTTTATTTATTAAATAACATGTTCTTTGCACTTAAACCATAAAATTCAGTTCAATGTTGCAAAATAAAATAATTTTAAAATGGGCATATCTTTAGAATTTCCGATACACAGTTCCGCACCGAAGATTAAGGTCTTTTTTCCCCCGTAGAGTTTTGCCATTGCTCGCTTTTAAATCATTGGCTTTAATACTAAAAAATTCGTTAAAGTTTTTAAAAATATGAAATCGATAATAAAATAAATTCCAAATTTCAAATTTGGTCTTCTACATGCTTATATTGGTAGGAGGATTACATTCAAAATTTGATGGCTCTATGTACTGTTGTTTTATCACAGTGCAAGAAATATACATACATTTATGTATATTTTTCATTATTTAATTTCTTCAAATATAATGCAAGAATCTAACATTTGGTGGCAACAGTTTAAAAAGTGAAACGGACTTTTATAGTGATTCAACGCAAAATCTCAAAACGAAAACAATAGTCCTTCAGACTCTTTGGACTAATAAAATTTCTCATGTGTACACCACGAC